CACACACTCACTCACACACACTCACGCACACACACTCACTCACACACACCCGCTCACACACACACACTCACTCACTCACACACACTCACTCACACACACTCACTCACACACACTCACTCACACACACACACACACTCACTCATGGAGATGCAAGTGCTGCGTTTGTGTGGCAGGGGCAGCATTTCGGTACTTCGTGCACCTGGGCTTGCGTTTGCGTGGCAGGGGCAGCGTTTGGGAGCTGTCTAAAGGGCTGGGATGTTGTGGCGCGCGCGGCTGTGGGCCCCCATCTCGCGTGGCAGGCGCAGGACTTTGGAGATGCAAGTGCTGAAATCGTGGCAGGCGCAGTACTTCGTGCACCTGGGCTTGCGTTTGCGTGGCAGGGGCAGCATTTGGGAGCTGTTTAAAGGGCTGGGGTGTTGTCGCGCGCGCGGCTGTGGGCCCCCATCTCGCGTGGCAGGCGCAGGACTTTGGAGATGCAAGTGCTGAAATCGTGGCAGGCGCAGTACTTCGTGGACCTGGGCTTGCGTTGGCGTGGCAGGGGCAGCGTTTGGGAGCTGTTTAAAGGGCTGGGGTGTTGTCGCGCGCGCGGCTGTGGGCCCCATCTCGCGTGGCAGGCGCAGCACTTTGGACAGGCAAGTGCTGAAATCGTGGCAGGCGCAGTACTTCGTGCACCTGGGCTTGCGTTTGCATGGCAGGGGCAGCATTTGGGAGCTGTTTAAAGGGCTGGGGTGTTGTCGCGCGCGCGGCTGTGGGCCCCCATCTCGCGTGGCAGGCGCAGGACTTTGGAGATGCAAGTGCTGAAATCGTGGCAGGCGCAGTACTTTGTGGACCTGGGCTTGCGTTGGCGTGGCAGGGGCAGCGTTTGGGAGCTGTTTAAAGGGCTGGGGTGTTGTCGCGCGCGCGGCTGTGGGCCCCCATCTCGCGTGGCAGGCGCAGCACTTTGGACAGGCAAGTGCTGAAATCGTGGCAGGCGCAGTACTTCGTGCACCTGGCCTTGTTTTGTGTGCCAGGGGCAGCATTTGGGAGCTGTTTAAAGGGCTGGGGTGTTGTCGCGCGCGCGGACTGTGGGCCCCCATCTCGCGTGGCAGGCTCAGCACTTTGGAGATGCAAGTGCTGAAGTCGTGGCAGGGGCAGCATTTGGGAGCTGTCTAAAGGGCTGGGGTGTTGTCGCGCGCGCGGCTGCGTGGCACTCGCAGCACTTTGGAGATGCAAGTGTGAAATCGTGGCAGGCGCAGTACTTCGTGCACCTGGGCTTGCATTTGCGTGGCAGGGGCAGCATTTGGGAGCTGTCTATCTGTCACTATTGGGGAGGTGCTTTTACCAGAAGAGCTTGGCGCATGCAAAAAAAATGCATCTGGCTGCTGACTGACTGTCTATGTCAGGTTGCTTTTACAACCTGCGATCCTCAATCGATGTAAGTGTGGCGCATCTTCATAAGCATAGACATGTGGGATTATCCGGTCCTTTATTTTTTTGAGCGGCTTGCTGCGTCTCGAGAGGAGCTCCAAACCCTGAAGCTTCAACTGGACGCCAGGCGCTCAAAGCCCACGTCTTCCAAGCCCAAAAAAACTGGCCCCGTCTTTTGCGGCGGGTGCCGGCCCCTGTTTGGTAGGTGGTTATTTATTTTTTAGCGGAGAACCAACAGGGCGCATTTTTTTTGGGGGGGGGGGTCCGATGCTTTTTTTTGAGACAGAGCCATGTAAATTGAGCCCTTGCCCAGTTCACTGGGACCGATTTTCTCGCGAAGCTTTCTGAATGCGGTGAAAACCTCAGAGTTTGTCTGACTTAATCACGGCCCCTGGCCGTCAACTGCCTGCTCCTGTGCAAAACAAAACAGAACTGTGAAGCTCGTCTTCAAAACGAAACAGCCCTTCGGTTTTCCCATGGTCCATGTTTAGTCGAGGGGCCCAAAGTTGTTTTGTCTCGTTTGTGTTTGGGTTCTTGGGGCAGCTGAGTAATGTTGACCCCATATTAATCAATTAATCAACCAGTTTAAGACGGGGATGTCCCTGGGTGAAATGTGGGGAATCAGCCCACTTTCAGAGGGGCTCCCCCTATTAATATTCATTGGCGGTTGATGAATATGGGAACAACTGATGTGAGCATGATGTTTGCCGCCGGGCAACCCAAGCAGAACCAAAGTTGTTGGGCCCCGAAGGTGGCCTGAACCACACAGAGCCATAACTAGGTCCCCCAGTAGTGCCCTTTTACCCCTTTTTTGGGGGAGGGTTCCCCTACTAAAATAGACTACGTAAAATAGGGTACCCTTATTCTAAGTCAGCAAGTCCAAAGGACAAGTTAAACGAGCACGTTTGATAAAAGTGCTGTCTTTACTGGGAGCCCTAGCATGCGTAAACGAAGGGTGTCTTTTCACGCTGTTTTCACGAGGGTTTCACGGTCTTTCACGGGTTTCTCACGCACCTTTCACCGTGTTGAAATCCAGCCCCTTGACAAAGTGCTGGTTAAACAGGCACTTTGCGAAAGTGGATCCCGAGCACCTGGAAGCGCGGAAGCGCTGGGTAACCTCTCTACTGGAGGACCTAGATACATGGTTGTCGTTGGGACACATTTCCAATTGTTGATCTTATTGTGGTTTAGTGGTTGAAATCCAAATCCACTTACCTGCTAAAATATTTGACTTTTTGCTCCCCAAACCCAACGAATCAACCAAGATTCGTTCCCGCCAGCGCCACACATTCGAGGGATGCTGCCTGGCGGTGGCCGATGCCCTGAAACGCGCGGATGCCGGGGCCTGGAGCGCCCGGGGCCGTCGAGCCGACGTCCCTTTCAGCTGACTTCCTGGCGCAGCCTCACTCGCCGAGTTCTCTCTACAAAGTTTCTCTTTTTTTGTTTATTCTTCTTTTTTTTCTCTCTGTCTCTCTCTCTCTCTCTCTCTCTCTCTCTCTGTGTTTAAAGACTGTTTTGGCTTTCCACGGAAGGCATAACTCTCTCAAACGTCCCCAAGCAAGCGTTGTTTCACTCCCCAAGCTTCCCATTTCCCGTTTTCAAGACCTTCCAACAGAAAGGACTCCCCTCTACGGGATTTTAAAGCGAAACCCGGACACCGATTTTGCCATCTTGGGGGGGGGGGGGTCCCCTAAAAGAAGACGCTGATTTTTGGTCAGCTCCTTAAAATACATCTCCATTTTGCTGGCCCATTTGAAACACGGATGGCTTTTTCAACACCAAAATAAAGCTGGAAACCACCATTTACAAGTTGCAATGTTCAGGTGCAATAAAAAAAGGATCCCTGTTTTAGTCAGCCAGGAGATCACCTTCGATCCATGTGAGTACCGTGAGAGCAATTGTGTCGTGCCCTTGTTCTCACTGACCTGTCGGTTTTCCCAAATTTGGCCCATGTTTTGTCAAGCTTCCAGGCTAAGACTAGCTTTCTATTTCCATGTCCTTTCGCCTCCGTTTCAATTTGGACAAGGTGACTCTGTCTCATCGCCACCAGACCCGCAAGAAGTAAAATAGACCAGACACATGGCTTGTCAAAAGAACTTTGACAAGAACTTGTGTGATGGCCCGAATGTCTGAGCAATGCAGCGCTTGTGCTGTGCGGTGAAGGCGGAAACCACAATCACTCAGCAACAGTTGAGAATCGTTTTTTGGGCCGGAAACATTCCAGATGACGAAGAGTAAAGATGAAACATCATGCCCTTCCCGGCAGTGCCTTTTCGCCCTGAGCCTCTAATACAAACAATGCTTTTGTGAAGATGTGATTTTCCATCCAGAGGCAGAGCAAAGATGAACCATCTGAAGATGTGATTTTAGTTGGTGGTTGAGATATGGCCATGGGTCCAAAGCTCGTACCCCCAGTGAACATCCAATTCAATCCCCAGCAAAATAAAGCCTAAAACGGATGGAAGAGGGACCTGTCTAGCTGTCGCGGTGAGGTGTTGCTCCTGTGCTGCGGCGCCGGCTTCTCTGCCGACTCAGGGCTGGCGACCTATGAGGCTGGACCGGCTCTGGGAGCCCTTGGAGCTCCGAGGATGTTGCATTTGAAAGGTTCACTACATATGGACCAGTTTCAAATCAAAGGCTTCTCAACCAAAAGCCGAGATTATATATATATATATATATATAGATGGCTTCACCGCTTCGCTTTATGGCTCTCTCTCGAAAATAGAATATGGCATGTGAGGTGCAGGTTAAGGTGGGATGGTCCCAAGCCAAGCCTTCACGTGGTTTTCCATCCCTGCTTGGTGGATAGTTGAAACAGACCTCACTTTGTATTCGGGCCTTTGTTTTCTTCAGAGGCAGCCCCGCAAGGGGTTCGCAAGTGGCTCTGTGGGACCGGTGGCTATAAGCGGTTTCCAAGAGGTTCGCACCGGGTCAGGTTTCCATACACCCGCGTGTCAAAACAGGTTGAGATTGACTCCACAATGGGTGACTAAGCCTTAAAACGGGAATGAGAGACGATCAGAGATCAGGGACTATTATAGCAGCTGTCAAGGACCAGTTTTTGTGTATCTCAGTCCAATTGTGGCCACAGATTCCAGGACAAAACACGGAACTAACGCGGCCCGGGGTGTCGCAAGGGGCCGGCCCATGGACAGCGGTGGATCTAGCAGATATGCGGATGCTCCTCGCTGTGGCGAACCCGGGCCAATCGCAGAGCTTTCCAGGTGGTTCGGCGGCAGCTACCTGCAGGGTGAGCTTTTAGAAGGAGAGAAATATCAGGGCGACGCGCTGGATGAGATTCCAACCTTCTGCTTCCATGCGCTGGATGGCCCGGTTCAGGTCTGGAGTCATTTGCAGGACTTCCTGGTGTTGTATCACTACAGTAACGAGCTGTGCTTCCGCAATGTGGGGGACATGGAGCAGGCGGCCTCGGAGCTCTTTGCCAGGGAGTCTATGCCACGCAGCACGAGCCTGCGGTATGGGGATCCCGGACGCGAGTGCTGTTACAACTACAGCAACGGGAATCCTCTCCGAGCTGACCTGGATGATGATGAGTCTCAGCGGGAGCAGCCAGGCCAAGTTGTTGACGCCGGTCAGCGTGGCAGCCGCCGAGTCGCCCAAGGTGGCGCGGCACCTCTGCAGGCCTTCGCAGTGAAGCTTTTTCGCCTCCTCCAGCTGACCCATGTGGCGGAGCAACTCAGTACAGTTGTGTGCTCCTCGCCCAGCTGGGCACGGCGTAGGTTGAAAGATTCCCTGCAAAGAGGCTCTGCTTCCTCATACCGCCCGCGGCAGTGGAGTCTCCGCCCCAGCTCGTCCATGCAGATCAGGAAGTTGCCATGGCGCTTCCGCAGCTGGGCCAGACGCAGCTGGAGCACCGTCACGGCCTCACGGGCAGCCACGCGCACCACCCACACATCCCGGCTCCCGTGCACCTCACGGCCCTTGTAATCCGTACCAAGTGGGACACCTTTAGCTTGAAGGTCAGGCGTCTGACACTCGAAGATGTTGTAGGCAATGGCTGTTGGCACGATCATGGGAATGCAAAAGGCAGCCCGGTGTCCGTTCTCATTCGCGCTGCCCCACTCAAGGAGAGTGGACGGCTGGACGAGGCCGAGGCTCTGTTCCGCGAGTGCTTGGCGGGCCTTCGCGCAACGCTGGGCAACAGTCACCAAGACAGTGTCTTGCATGAACAACTTGGGCGGGCTTCTGATTGACAAGGGCCACTTGGATGAGGCAGAGGCGCTCTATCGTGAAAGCTCCGCGCCAAGCTGGGGAACTTGCGCCCGAGCACCATTGAAAGCACGCAGAACTTGGCGCGGCTCCTGAGAGGCAGCGCTTGGATGAGGCGGAGCAGCTTTTTCGCGAAGGCCTTGAGCAGTGCCAAGCTAAGATGGGCCCGGAGCATCCCCAGAGCCTCAGCAGCATGGGCAACTTGGCTGGGCTTTTGAAGGAGAAAGGTGACCTGGAGGAGGCCGAGACGCTCTTCCGCCAGTCTTTGGAGCATAGGCGGAAGCAGCTTGGGGAGACTCATCCAGACACGCTCGCCAGCATGCACAATTTGGCCGGGGGTTTGACGGACACTGGCGACGCGGACAAAACGGAGGAGGCAGAGCGCCTTTACCAAGATTGCCTTTGTGAGAGCAGGGCTGCCTTGGGTGACATGCATCCGCACACCCTGGGCACCATGGAACAGTTGGCCACCCTGATGCAGGGCGCTGGACCTTGCAGAAGGGCTCTTCCGTGAGTGCCTGGCCGGTCGCCGCGCTTTGCTTGGCAACGAGCACAAGCTCACCATCAGCAGCGTTGACAGCCTGGCCGCATTCTATGCCAAGGAGCAGTTTCAGGAGTCGGCAGCGCTCTTCAGAGAGAGCCTGGAGTGGAGCAGAGCACAGCTGGGCGAAATGCATGCAGACACCATTCGCAGCATCAACAATCTGGGCTCGCTGCTGTGTTCCTGCAAGAAGCACGACGAGGCAGAGCCTCTCTTGCGCGAAAGTCTGGCGAAACATCGGGCTTTGCTGGGTGACCTGGACGAGAGCACCCTGACCTGCATGGGAAACTTGGCAAAGTTCCTGGAGGAGAGAGAGTTGCTTGTAGAGGGGGAGCAGCTCTACCACGAATGCTTGGCGGGTCGCCGTGCGTTTTCCGGAGAAAAAGACCAGGGTACCCTGGCTCGCATCTACAACCTGGCGGACTTGCTGAAGACTAAGGGTCAGCTTCAAGAGGCGGAGCAGCTGTTCCGGGAAGAGCTGGAGAAGTGCCGCGAGATCTTGGGCGACGACCACGAGGAGACCCAGAACTCCATCCGGAATCTGGCGGAGCTGCTTGAAGAGATGGGGCAAGTTGACGAGGCCGCCCGCCTCCGGGCGGAAGTCCCGGACAGCGAGGGCGAGGAGGAGGAGGAGGATGGAGAGGAGCCTTGACCTTCTCGGTTTAGCCTGGCGCTTCCGAGCGGGCTTTCCACAGTCGACGTGCCAAAGGCCCATCGACTTGCTGGGTGGAAGCCTCGCATCTTTGAATGAATCCGAAGGCGGCTGTGTTGTCGTTTGGGCAAAAACATAGCTCAGTCCAACGTCGGCCTTGCAACCTTTTGGGTTTCCCTGAGTGATCTGTTTGTCGAACGGTCGAACGCAGGAGATCGCCAACATAAAGCCCTACCAGGACAACATGCGCCATGAGATGGGACCCTTCCCAGCGTTTCCCGAAATGAGTTTTGTTTTCATTCGTTTCCCTCTCATCCAGCCAAAAGGGATGCACACATGTTGCAGACAACCCCAAAGTGGCAAAGGGGCGTAATCTTTTTTTTTACGGGGACCTGTTAAACTGGTGGTACCAGTGTCCTTTGGGTTTCCGTTTAAATCCATCAAGAAAGGGAACCCTCAAAACAGACACCCCCAAAAGGCAACCCGCCCTTGGAGCATCGAGTTAGAAAGCTTAGGCCCCCCCCCCCCTCCCTCCGTCGTGGTGGTGTCATTTCAGGTTTGGTTCCAAAGGCCCATCAGGTTCCCCAAAAGATACCCCCTTTAGGTTTCGCCCCAGTTGCAGTCGCCTTCGTTTTGCTCGGGGGGGAGGGTTTGTTCCAGGACCTTGGCTACGAGTACCACGACATCTGCCGGTCCTGGACCCAGATGGGATCGGGGTGGATTGTTACATGGACAGACATGGCTGTGGGTCAAAACCAATGGTAGCATTTTGGGGTAGGTGCACCACCCATTTTAGTCTACGTCAGTGGGGATTTGGGATGTTCACTGGGGGTGCCAAAACGTCCTGAACGATCTTCATTGCTGGAACTGGATATGGCTCTGGGCCAATAGTAGCATTTTGGGGTAGGTGCACCACCCATTTTAGGCTTATTTTGCTGGGGATTGGGATGTTCACTGGGGGTACGATTTGCATTTTGACCCATGGCCATATTTTGATGGCTCGCAATTCAGCGCTGGCCCGGCAGTTTCGTTCTCCAAATGCCAAGGCCTCATTCAGCTCGGGGAAGCTGGAAGCGGGGAGGGGGGTGGTTTTGGAGATGAAGAGCCAGTCTCAGACAAATGCCATGGCCCCCCCCAAAAAAAAACAGAAGCTCAGGTGATATCCCCCCAACAGCATGACCTGCTCTTTTTTGTACTCGCACCACCCCGCAGCCCTCGCAGAACCTCGTGGAACCCTCGTGGAACCCTGGTGGAACCCTGGTGGAACCCTGGTGGATTCCTTGTGGAACCTTGCCTCAGGGCCCCGGAGCCTATCTGGGCTGAGACCCCAAAGCTTTCAGCTGTTGGGGAAAAAACAACAACAAGGATCTAGGAGGAAAGAATAATTCTTGGTCTCCCGTTCCGCTTTTTGGTTTCGCTCACTCCCCAGACTCCCCAGGCCGGAGTGGCTGACCCACGACCCGGAGATCTTCTACGGCTTTTGGGGCACCTGTCGTAGCACCCAGCGACGAATGCCTCGCTTCGTCGCTTCGTTCTTTGGGGACCTCGGAAAATGCCGGGGGCGTGGCGTTTTTTGTTTGTTCTTCTTCTTTTCTCGGGACCCGTCACAACTCGGAACCGGTTCCCTTTTGGGGGATTGGGTGAAACGGAAAGTTGGAAGGCAAGCCCAAAACAGGGGGTTCCCTTGCCTGTCTTTTTCAGGCACCCCTTTGTTTGGCGGTTTGGATTGGACGTGGATTTGAAGCCTGGGTTCTTGAGATGGGAACCATCCCGAACCTCCATGCCACCAAGCATAGGAAAGCTGACATGTTGGGTTGGCCTTGGGACAAACCCAAGTGAAGGTTAGGGAATATGTTTTTGTTTTCACCAGAAATTGGTGCAGGTATCCCCCTTGTGATTCTTTACATGGCTTTGGGTACAGCCCTTTAGAACCAGGTTTAAGACTCTGTTTTGTTTCAGGACCCCCGGTCAGGTTCAATGTTAGCAGGTGGGAGGGGAGAAGGAGGTGGATGTTGTCTTGGAAGTGGCGATCAGAGGAACGCGAGCACAAGTCAATTCCACTAGAAGAGGGCTTACCACCTCTGATTGGCACGGTGCCTCGGATTTAATCCCAGGTTGACTTGTCAAAAGGAGATTTGCCGGGGACGAGGCACAAGGACCGAGTGCTTTAAGGAGGTCACAAGAAACCAAGGGCACACTTCTTCATCCCCACCCGCTTAAATATGGAATTGGGGGAGGTGGGTGACTAGATAAATGGACTTGGGGACCCCCCACCCCGCTCCCCCTGAACGTAGGGGAGATACTTTTTCTTTCATTTTAACTCTTTACAACCCACTTCAACAGGATTTTGCTTTGAGCCTTCACCGGGTAGAAACTTGGCAAATGCTGTAGCGGATCGGGTCGAAAGGGAGCAACCTGGGACAAGCTGTTTTGGAGGACGATTCCTGTGTGTCTAGATATCTCCCCAGCTTTTTCCTCAAACCATGGCTCAGCGGACGCACTTTTGGGACACATCCTTCTCAGGTTCGCTGTTCTCTTTGATACCTGTTGTAGTGATTCGGTGATGAGTCAGTGACTCACAAGGAGCTGTTGCCGCGTTTGCAAGGGGTGCCACCAATGCATGTTTGGGGCAACCACTTTTTGCGATGCCAAGGGGGTCCCCAGTAAACTTGAAGCTGAGAAAGTGGTCATGCCGCTAACGGGCAGCCATGTTCGTTCATCATGGCCTTGTGACCCTCTTTTTGAAGGGACTCTCCAAAGTCCTTTCTTTCGTTTTCCCGGAAATGGGACCAGGCCAATCCTTTCCAGCATTTCGCTCTTGCCCCGGTTTGTGCAAGATAGTTCTTGCAATCCCCTGGGTTCATTTTGCGGGCTCCACGGGCCTCCTATCTCTTCAGCGCCATGTGAAACGCGAAGGCTTCAACGACTACCGCGAGACACAGCCACATGAGGACAGCCCCCTCGCTCGGCCGTAAGAGCTCCGTTTGGACTATGGTCATTGGATTCGGACGGGTCGCCAAGTGTTTCGCGCGAACCAGGGCGAATGTGGGTGCCTCAAAAAATGAATGCCCCCACTCAAACAAATCTCGCAGCCTCAATAGAGAAAACCGAGAAATCAATTTGGGGGCCATCTCCATGTTTCAAATGTTTCGGGGGAACATTTACCGTCATTTATGTCGGCTTAAGGTCAACTTGGAAACGTATGTATGTTTGGGTTTTATTGGATTTCAGATTGTCCATGCCCATTCGGGCATAAGACGTTTCATTTCGTGCCTTTCGTCATTGCTACAAAAGTATGTTTGGGTTTAGGCGGATTTCAGATTGTCCATGTCCATTCGGGTATAAGACGTTTCATTTTGTGGCTTTCGTCATTGCGCGAAACAAACGCCAGCGCCAGGGGTACAACATCATCCGCCAGTGGAGGGACACGCGGTTCGGCGCCAACAACCGGTGCTCCCGGGCGATTCGCATGGCCTTAGAGCAGGACTCAAAGGGCCTTGGCTTTCAGCAGAGAGGTGGAAGCAGGGAAGAACAGCGCAGGTCCATGTCTTTCTGAGCAGGGCTTGACATGTTTTCTTTCAATTTGGGGATTACACAGTTGCCTTGCAAGTGTCCGTCAGCATGACAGTCAATTTCCTGCGTTGCTAACCATTTAAGCAATGGCCTTCAAGAAGTATTCCAGCGGTAAGCTTTCGACCTCAGTCCGATAGGACACGGCGGAGCTCGGTGAGGGGCCCAGTTGGAGAGAGAGAGGGAGAGAGGCCTCCGTTCAGTGGCTACTAACCAGACGCTGCTTACCGAATGAGACTTAGCCACTCAAAGGCACAGGAAGGGGGCAACCATTTTGAACAGGTTGTAGGGTTCGGGTGCAGGCCGGACATGGACCAATTTGGGATTTTGCTGTAAGGGATGTGTCTCATGGGTCCCATGGGTCCCATGGGTCCCATGGCTCCATGATTTTCCGACTTTCGAGAAGCGTTTGGCGGCATAGGCTGGTCATGTGAGGCAGCCAGGCGTTAAGTGGCGTGGCTCAAGTTCAGATGCCTCCAAATGCTGGGTTCACGTTGCGTTCCTTTTCAAATGTGTCAATCAGGTCCTTCGCATTGGCTGCTGTCCTCTTTCGTACGGGCAGGCTGGGCTAGGCTAACATGGCGTTTGAAGGTTTGCCACCCCCCTGCCTGCTGGTGATGATGGTTATGCTGAGGATGGTGATGGTGGTGATGGTGATGGTCATGGTGATGGTCATGGTGATGGTGATTATGATGGTGGTGGTGGTGCTGCTGGTGATGATGCTGATATTGACTATGGTTATCGTTATCAGGTGGTTATCTATAGTAGCAGTAGTGGTAGTATGAGAGCAGTAGCAGCAGGACTAGGGACTAGGACTGGGACTGGGACAATGACAAGGACAAGCAGCAGTAGCAGTAGTAGTAGTAGCATCATTATTCTCATTGCCAGCACTCCCTTTCGTTGTTATTCCCTCCGCTCCGCGGATTTCAGGCCGAGAGCCTGAGCCCTACGAGGTCAAGGGCCACGCTGCCTGGGGGCCTAGAAGGGGACCCAGGCTAGAGATAGGTGGCTCGTCTTTCTTTTTTTGAGGAAGCGGACTGGGACCCAAGATGGCGCAACGCCTTTTCCTTTTGGTCTCCACTTAAAATCTGACCAAAACAGGGGGTAATCAGCAACTCCAAACAAGACATTGAAATGGATTGCTTTCGAGTGTTCCGTTCGTTCGAGTGTCTTCCGGATTCAAAAGGACCGGAACGAACCCTTCGACATGGATCTTTCAAGGGAGAGAATCACCCCGTATGGCCCGGGTGGAAAGCCGCTGTTTGTAGTGGAATCGTGTTTGGGGTCAGATCCTTCTACGTTTGCAAGGGAGGAATAGAAGTAACCCAGGAGGTTCTCCTGTGAAAATGTTTTTGTTGCGGCGGGGGGAGGGGAAATGTCACAAGAGCACCCTCCTTCCAGGGGATCTGGCAGGTTGATGCCATGCTGTCTCTGGGGGAAACAATATTCCGATTTCAGGTGAAACACGGTGGACCATCGCCCGGTTGAGCACGAGGGTCCATCGGCGAAAAGGCATCCCCAAATTTTGGCTTTCCAGCTGCACTCAATTTGTGGGAAACGTCTGATCGCATCGGTTTGGGACACCATTTGATTGTCCACCAGGTTCGTGAACTGAGTTCTGGTCAGGGGCCTTTGGTGAAGGGGACGGGCACATGTTTGTGCTGTCAGTTTTTGGTGTCTTTTGGGTTGCCACGTTTCGAAGCGAATCCCACTGGTACCGTTTAGCACTATTGCTGCAAGCCCCCGAACATGCACAGCTTCGTGTGTTTGTCATTTCAATCATATCCAGTTTGTGAAACCGGATGTGTGACGAAATACTGCATGTTGACCTGCCAACAGTTGAGAACTGGACGTGTGTGCTGACATGTTGACCGACGCCTCCGAACTTGTTGAAGGGGATTCTGGGACGAGTGCTGAGGGGGTCCAAAAGCAGCTCACGCATTGGAGTGCTGGATTTAGAGGAGACGTTTGACTTAGCAACAAGAACAAGTAAGCAAACAAACGAATAAGCAAGCAACACGGCGATGCTTCAAGCAAAGTCAGTCAAACAAAACCAACCAAAACAACTAAACAAGAAAGCTGGCAAGCAATCAAAGAAGT